CTGCCCCCTCCCCACCCCCCACCTCCCACCCCCCACCCGCCCCAACGCCCTCACACCACTGCTTTTCTTTCCCGGGACGGTGAGGGTATTATTCTAGTTTTTGCAAAATGCACAGCAGCTAATTAAGTCAAGGAGCCCCTCGGCTTTCGAGTTCTTTTGCATGTGAATGGGGGTTGGTAAATCCCCAGCTCTGGCTGTGGTGGGGGGCGAGGGGAGACTGTCCCCAACTCAGGGTTAATGAAGTGGGAAAGGAGTCTCTCATAGCCTCCTGCAAACAAAACCCCCCATGCAACAAACCCAGCCCAAATCCTACATGGATTGACTTAAGCCCAGGGGATAAGTGCTTTAAATTAATCTCATTGAATAAGAATGAGACCAAACAAAACTCTTTAAAATCATATTAAAAATCTATCAAAGGACAACTTGCACTGGTGTGCTTTTCATTTTGTGAAAGTGAAGGAGGCAGAGCAGAGCAACCACCCTCTTACATTTACACAGCGGCAGTGTAAACCACAGACACATTCTCAGCTGTGTAATTGTCCTTGTACCTCAGAGGCGACTTCATATCTTACATTAATGAAGAACAAGGCTTCCCTACAAGTTTATAATTACAATATCTTAGATTGTCCTGCACTTCCCATCTGTCATAATAACTACAACCTTTGCGGTGAGGTGGGTTTCTGCTTTCATCCGCTTCGAAGGCTAAATTGGCTTCTCGGTTCCCAACCCCGGGGCTGGGTGAACTCTTTTTGGAAACACAAAGAAGGAGAGGCGGGGAGACCCCCGGCGGGCAGAACAATAGGAGAGGCTCCCGGGAGGCGTCTTCTCTGCCCCAGCGGCGACCCGCCCCAGCCCCTCGGAAACCCCGGCTCCACAGGGTAGGGGCGGCAAAGTTTAAAGGAAGTTGAGATTGCCCTGTGAGCCTTGTTACGAGGATTCGGGACAGTTTTGAAGAGTCTAGCTGGTTCTGCGGGTGCCCCACTGCACCCCCCTCGCCCCCGGCAGGTCTCGTTCTGAATTGTCCTCATGGCGGAGCAGATTAAGAGAGAAGGTGAGATGGTCACTCGGGCAATTTAACAAGACCCGTTAGGTGCCCTTTTCAGGCAGGGCCACTTGTCCAGTGGAAAAGCTTTAAATTTCTGTCTCGTGGAATCGATGCTTGGATTCTAATGGCTTTCCCTGACTTCATGTAGAGGGCCGCGTTGCTAACTAGCAAGGTCACTAGCGGCTTGGGATGTACCTGCATTAAGGGGCTCTCATTTACTCCCCTCTTCCCTAAATCTCACCTCCCTTCGCTAAAGAAGAAGAAGAAAAAGATCAAAGGAACCCACTGGGCTTTGTCAAAATGTCCTTTGCTGAGCTCTGGTTGGCTCTTTGCTTCTCCAAGAGTGGAAGAGGCTGTGTGCCTTGCATCAGCACTGACTTAATCACTCGCCAAGGGCTCTTTGCCCTTCGGTGGGGTGGGTGAGAACGGAAGCCCCTCTGAAGAATGGCAACCCGCTAAGAGCTGCAAACATGAAGGGGTTTGGGGTGCAGAACAAGCATCCGACAAGCCCACGGGGGAAAAGGCTTTCGGCTGCAACACTCCATGAGATGTCCAAATTCTCCGTGACTTTCAATACGGGGATCAGGCTGCGACACAGAGAAATGGGAAAGTTTGGGAAATCGGAAAAAGAGGGACGATTAAAAATACGCACAAAATTAGAATATGTGCAGTGGAATTAGGCTAAAGCTTTGCCTAATTGATGCCTGAAACGTATAATCTGTCAAGAGCCATAATAGGAGAAAGAGATTTATTTTAAGGTTATTTAAATTTAGATAATATTAACCCTAAATCTGTTAAATCCATGTTTCTTTATTAACTGGGGGTAATATATTGATTCTACTTAGAAAGGGGCCCACAAAGCATCTATGGCAAGAAACGCTCACCTAAGTGTTTGCAAATTAGGCTGAAGTTCCATCTCCAAATTCTAGTCCCTTACACCCTCTGCCGGGAAGGTTCCCGAATGCCGCCCCCCCCCAGGAATGCAGGGCCCAGTCGACCTCTGGAGGAATGAGTGCATGGGGGGTGGGGGAAGCAGGGCTTCTCTTTGATCCTCCCCAATCACTGCCTTTAATCCTGTTTCTCACACAGCTGGGTTTTGTCTGTAAAGTTTGATCCCTCCTTTTCTCATCCAAATCATGTGACCCATTACACACGGAAATAAAAGAAAGGTGGCAGATTTCCCCAAGTCCGCTTGACAAGTGCTACAGGGCTTTATTATTACTGTTGTTGTTAGAAACTTCACCAACCGTCCCTAAGAATTCGTATGTGACAGCCCTCGTGAGAAGGTCATATTTTCCCTCCCGCAGAGGATTAGTGCTCACTGGGCTCACACTCGCCCTCTCCCTGGGGCCTCTGGTGTCGGTGCGAGCTACCCTCCACTGCCAGAGGGGGTCGGAGGCAAGGACGCTGGCCCCTCTGTGGACCCTGCAGACCGCCCATCTCGCAGCACTCTCATCCGCTCCTGGCCACTTGGTTCCTGTGGATCTGGAGGGTTGGTTACTGAAGTGGGTGCCTCATCATCCATCACAGGAGTCGGAAGACCAGGAATCCCGAGAAGGCGGAGAGAACAAAGCACCTCCCGGCACAGAGGTGCTGAGCTCTGGCCCTTCTCCTTCGGACGCCTCTGGAATCCCCGCGTCCAAATCTGGCAACCGGTCCGCCCCCGGGGGGGCCGCTTTCAAACCTCCGGGGCAACACAGTGGGGGAGGGGCAGCTGTGACCTGGGCCACACTACAAGGACCCCCGGACCCCAGACTTGAAGGCAAGATGGGACTCGATGGGAGAAAATGCTCGGGAGACTGGTGCCTTTTGACTTCAAAGGCAAAGAATAGAAAGGCAACAGTAAAAAGCATAAATAAATAAAAAAGGCACCAGTAAATCCATCAGCCATGAGACAGGAAGTTTTCTGTGGACATAAAAGAGGCGGCCAGGCACGTGAATGCGACGTGGGGCCTGGAGCTGCCTGCCTGCGGACGGACCCGGAGGCTTCCGACCCACGCCAAAACCAGTCAGCCCTCTGAACAAAGCACTTGTACATCAAGAAAACGTGTTGGATCTTTACCCTCTTCTTTAGCAAATTGCATCCCAGTTTTAAAAACGCTATTTTATAAAATTCGTGTTAAGCAATGTGTTGATGGGGCAACTAAAGTAAAACTTTGAGACACCTTCAGAACACTGTCACCAGGAGGCAGGACGGGGCCCTCGCGCTGCCACTCACACCACCAGGCTCTTGCTGGAGGCTGGGGGTGGGGGGGAGGGTGCGGCTCTGGTGCACTGATTGGCTGGTCTACACTATGCTGACCCCCGCCCCCCACGGGATAAGGGCCTGGCTTCTCTGGGTCAGGGGCTTGTCCTCAGAGTGCGGTGACGGTAGGGCACCAGGCTTTCCCACAATGCTCCTGACAAGAACAGGGCCGTCAGCCCAGGTCTCCGGGCCTCCAGGATCCACCCCAAGCCCCAGGCCTGTGGAGGCAGAGCTGAAAACAAAAAACCAAAAAACTTTTTTGGGAAGTCTCGGCCCCCAGTCAGTCTCTCTGGGTTTTTCCGTTGCACGGAGAGCGCTGCTTCTGTTTTCCCATAGCAGAGGCTGGGCGCCCGGTGCGGATGGCTCTGCATGGCTGGCTGCCGGGCGCCGCGTGTTTGTTTTGCTTTTTGACCTTGGCGACGCTGGCCTCAATCCCACTTGAGTATTCTGAACGCAAGATTTCAGCAAGGCGGTGTTTACCCCGGGTCTTCTTATGAAGGTCAGGCCTGAAGAAAGTAACACAGCAGAGGGGGGAAAGGAAACTTTATTATTTTTTTCTTTCCCATTTGGAAAGAGGCTGGTAGCAGCTGGTTCCGAGACTGTGGAACTGACATTTTTGTATTAACAGAAGTACAATCCCTTCAATAGTGCTTGTTTTGATATTCTATGCACCAGAAGATTAGATACGGCGCTGACAGATTTTCATAACGGTGGCAAAATATCATGGCATTTTTAAAAGTGAGGCTTTGTTCTGTGTTGTTTTCACGGAAAAAAAAGAACGATACGCACTCACACTCTGATGGCAAACGAAGTGTATGATACAGCAGTTTGCCAAAGGATGGGGGGAAAAACCCGCCTTGAAACTCAACGACATACAGCGGTGAAAGCCGGCCAGCAATTCTGGGCAAGTAAGCCCCGTGTAGGTCAAAGCCCCGTCCTCCCGACGGGGCCCACACAGCGCCCGGGGGTGGGGTGTCGGTCGCAGACACCTCTTCGCTGACTGAAGAGCCTCCTGTAGATATTTTTGACCTTGAAAACCCCAAACCCAGGGTCTGCATGGGCCGACGGGACGGCATCTGGCAGACCCACCGCTCTCCACCGACCACAGGCATGGGTGCGGAGCGAGAGGGAGGGCTCCCTGCCCCAACCCACGAGGAAAGTGCAAAAGGCTGAAAATCAATTTCAGGCGTTGAATACCAGTAACTGTTTTCAAGAGACAGCAGCCTCACCATTTGATCAGAAGATCAGAGGGAGAAATTGGTAGAAGTTCAACTGTACACAGGAAGGATGATTATGAATGTCTAAGAGTAAACGTTTCCCAGGAAAGGATTTTAACCCAAATAAGAGCAAGAGAGCCATTCCACTGAACCCACACTGCTATGCCGGCCACTCCCTCAACTCCCGACAGCGGGGTCTTAGGGTTCTTGCAAAGGCACACGTCGCCCTCTGCAACGTATAGTTACAGCATTTTCTTGGTAATCGTCGGAGCTCAAGTGGACTAAAGTTGTGCTCAAAATAGAACGGAACTCCTTGAAAACTCAAGAATTAGCAACGGGATCACTACGGCGCTCCTGAGCTGTCAGGAAAGGTGGTGGAGTCCCGTGACAGCGCTGGACCAGGCTACGGCAATTACACCGAATTCCTCCACAGGGCGGGGCTCAAGCAACGGTGCGACAGGCCTAGCATGGTTTTCTACCAGGACGCACAGGGAAAAACACGGTCACCCTTTGTTGGGAAAAAAGGTCTGAGAATACGTTAATGGTAAGACTTTGTCATAAGGGTGCACGGATGCGTCAGTGACAGTGCCCTGCGAGACTGGGAGCAAACAAGGAAGTACTTTCGGGGTTCCACAGTCATGCCGTCCACCGGACAAAGGAGGTATGACAGCAGCCTCGTTTCACAGACAAGGAAACTATTCTGGAGGAGCGTTAAGTACTTTGCCCAAGACCATCGAGTTCGTAGGTGCAGCAGCGGAGATGCAAACACAGGTCGGATGGACTGAGGCCTACGCTCCTCCCAGCAGGCTGCGGGTCCAGGGACAAACACTTAGGAAGATCTGGCAGGAGCCAGGGTGGCAGAGAACCACGGCCAGACACGGGGGAGTTCTGTGCTCACATGAGAATGTTGCAGGGGGACGGTGGGGGCAGCACCTGGATGACAGAGGAGGAAGGGGCAAGTGGGGACAAAGAGGAGAGCTGACGACGGAGGAGGCCGAATGACACAGCTCAGGCTCTCTGCTTGGTCTCCTCACCTGAACAAAGGGGACGATACTTAGAACAAAGCTCACAGGTGCTGGAAGGATTAGAGACGCACAGGCGGCTAGCGGGTGGCTGGCATGTGGATTTCGGTCAATCAGTTAAAAATGAGGAAACTGAGGTCCGGAGGTGCCAACCGAGAGGCTCTCCAAGGCCACACGGGAGCCAGGCCTGACCCCGGGGGCCCTTGATGCCCAGGCCGGGGCATTTGGGGCTGCACCCCCTTCTCCTGCAGGGCACTCATCCTAACTCCCCGGGGTGGTGGACCATGCTCGCTGCTGTGCCCGGCGGAGGGGGCCGCCCCTGGGGGGGCGGGGGGCTGGCGCGTGGCTGGGAGGCGGCGGGAGCCAGGCCTGCAGCTGAGGGCACTAAACTTGTTCCAAACTGAAGGCTGCCAGTCCTTGTGCTTGTAGTTTATTTTTAGTCGGGTTACATGACAGACGGAGTGAGAAGGTTCTGACAGGAAGAAATGCTTCCTCTTCCCCGTTTGAAGCCAAGTACTCACAATGTGTATAATTTTAAATCTAACAACCCGAGTTTCAAAATATGCAAAATTTCAGTCAAAATATCCTCCCCAGCATCGGCTCTGTGACTGCTCCTGCCACCGCTAAAGCAAAATAAATAACCAGAACCTGATCGGGGCGATTGATACCCTAACTGCCGACAGAGCAGGCACAGACAGCCGGAGCGGCACCCTTGCAGGCTCAGGCGCAGGCTGGCGGTCCTGCAGACGGAGCCGGAGGGACGGTGCGGGAGACCACACCGACGGGGGCACCACACGGGCGCCCTTCCGTCCCCGTCCCTGCCCAGACACATACAGCTGGGTCCCGGGCAGCGCGAGGTCCCTCCTGCCCGGCGGGTGCAGCACGGCACTGAGTGGGCAGGGTTATTAAGGACCTTCGGGTCCACACCGTGGTGGGGGACACGTTGGAAGTGCATCTGGGAGATGGTCCTGCCCGCCTTCAGCTTCTGAGCTCAAAACGTCCTATCTTAGCATCTCCTTCTAGGCAACGTACTTTCGACCTGGGACCCAAACCCAAGCTCCGAGGCTCCTGGTGGTCCAGAGGGCAAGCGGGGTTTCGTCGTTCAGACCCAGACCACCTCCCCAGGACCCGAACCTCAGGGTCGACCCCGCAGGGTTTTCCCCACCGCTGTGGGAGCAACAGGACCCAGCTTGGCTGTCTGCTGTTCCTTTGTTCTGAGGCCCAGTGCCGAGAAGGCGAAGTACAGATGGGAAGGTGGAACGTTCTAAACCCAGGCCCGCGCTGGGCGCATGTGGCCTCTCGACTCCTCCTGCCAAGCTGCACTTCTCCCAGGGACTTGCCAACTTTCTTGCCCTCCTTGCCCTCCAAATACTCAAACCCCTCTCAAATGGACTTCCCAGTCCACCAGAGTAATCCCGCAGTTACCAAGCAACAGATCAGTTTATCTAACCACAGGGAACTCCCTTGTAGTGAAGGCTGAATAACCCCCCTCGGTTACCAGGCTGGATTACCCTGCAGGATGGGCAGATGCCACTTTCACTGCCAATAAGGTGAAATCACAGCCTAATTAGTAAATCAATATGCCCACTAGGGTGACCACTGCAGAAGAGGGGCCTCAGGACCTTCTCGCACCTTTATGGACAGATTCACAGAAGGCTACCCCAGGTAGGAAGCCGCCCCAGCTCAGGATTGTGCTCATGGCATCCTCTTACAGGACAGAGTTTTTCACTTTACCTTCTTTAATTTATGTACTGTCAGATCAATCGGTATTTTCTTTTACTAAGTTTTACAGCTTTAGGATCACGCTTAGAAGCCTTCCTCATGCTAGCGTTTAAAAACGTACAGGCAGGGGCGCCTGGGTGGCTCAGTCGGCTAAGTGTCCAACTCCTGATTTCAGGTCAGGTCATGATCTCACGGTTCACGGCATGGAGCCCTGAATCGGGCTCTGCGGTGACGGCGTGGAGACTGCTTGGATTCTCTCTCTTCCCCTCTGCCCACCTCTCCCCTGCTCATGCTCGCTCCCCCCCGCCCCCCCAAATAAATAAATAAACATTAAAAAAAATGTTCAAGCATATTTTTCTTTAGTCTGCTACTGCCTTCCGTAATTCCATCTAGATTTTATTCTGGTTTAACTATTCCTTCCCAACAGTTATCCACAATAGTCACTGGACCATAAATCTGCTCCCCAGGACTTGAAACGCACCCCTGTGACTCTTTCTGATGCTGAGAACACTTCCTGTAGGCGACACTCGAAGAGATGATGAAAATGACAGTAGCCAACACTGAAGAGATCTACTGAAGGGACTTAAAGATACAAGTCAGTCTTTCAAACTGGCCACCGACCTCCATGATGATTCTCCTGCTGACACTCCCGTGGCGCTGTTCTCGGCACTGGACAGGTGTTTAACTCGTCTACTTCACCCACAACCCCACGAAACGGCTACAGTTAGCACCCCCACGTTACTGGTGAAGGAAGAGACACACAGGGGAGGGAGGTGGCGCCCAGGGTCACAAACCAGTGACGGAAGAGCAGGGACTCCAGTCCCGGAAATCTGACCCCGTGACTCGTGCACTTAACCGCCGTGCTGTTAGGTTTCCACCAAAACCAGAAGCAAGCCTCCTGCACAAGATGTTTTTATGCCAAGACAATGCTCATGTTATCTCAAAATCTCAAAGACTCTTGGCGGCCCCGACGGAGTGCAACTGAAAAGTGAAGGTTGAATTAACTTAGGTGAGAAACAGCAGTTTAAAAAAAAATCACACGATTTGTTCAATTCCATCACGGACACCAAGAAACCCATATAAGTACACTCGCCGTGGAAGTCTGCAGGGTATAAAAACTGTGACTCAAGGTTAACTTGGATTGTGGGCTGATAGGTGATTTTTAAGCTTTTCTCTATTTCCTGAATTTTTACAATGAACACGTATTATTTTTATGACCATAAAGAACAATGTATTTGTTATAGGGAAAAAAAAATCAAATGGTCGAATTTTGCCCTATGCCAAAATATCCAAGTCTTTTGACTTTTACTTATCAAAACCTCTTTGCTTTTCGCTTTTAGTTTGTTTGATTTTGTGTGAGAGTTTTCTCTTAAGACAGAAACAGACAGACTGAGGAGTAGTAAAATGTACTTATTCTCTGATCTGAAGGATTCTTTCTGCATGTAAGCAAATGACCTAGGGACACAGTGAGAGCACCCCCCCTGCCCCCCCCCACACACACCAAGGACTGAGAGAAGCAAGCCCCCCAACTGGAAGGAAAGCCTG